GATATGATGCCAATATTAGCTGAAGCGCTCTGGATTATGCGATAATGTTAGCGTCCTTGGCCATTGCATAGAATGCCGAAAATTGGTTTGCGAGAAGTCGCTGCGGTGAATCGAACTCGTATATCCTTCCTTTGTCTAGTACCATCACTCTGAAACATTCCCAATGAATTAATGAAACGAGGATTCAGAAGTCCGGGCAACTGATTGCTCAGAAAACGGATTAAATTTGCAACGTTTGCCTTGCAAAGCATAGGATTGCCGCCAAGTGATTGAGATCGAGAAATTAGATACAATGAATTGAGAACTTTTGGATTTCTCCATGTTTTTCCAAACAAAGAGTGCGCTAGAACGTGAAGAGATTAAATTTCGCAAGAGATTCTCATGAGTGATCGAAGTGTAATGCTGATTAGGCGATCATCTGTCCAAGATGAGCTAGCGATCACGCCGGTCTCATGCGATTCCATTGTCATAGCAATACAACAATAACAATGATCAGCCATTCCGCTAGATAAACCATTAGAGTGACCTCCGATGACTTTGAGCTANTACAACAATAACAATGATCAGCCATTCCGCTAGATAAACCATTAGAGTGACCTCCGATGACTTTGAGCTAACTTTCAGCGCCAATGAATAGAGCAACCGCATTTTCGTGTAACATCAACATCAACGAAAAGAAAATATCAAATGCCAATTACTTGATAAAACCTACCTATCGTAATCGAGGATCGTATTCAAGCGATGTGCAATCGTCAATACGGTGCTCGACTTGAACTCACGCCTGATCGTTTCTTGAATCAGCGCATCTGTTCCTAGATCAACTGCTGCCGTTGCTTCATCCAAAATCAACACTTTACTCTTCCGAAGTAATGCCCTCGCCAAGCACACCAACTGCCTCTGACCAACACTGATATTCTCACCACCCTCGCTGATAATATGATTCAGTCCATCGGCGAGTCCTGCAGCGAAACTTTTCAAATGGGCCAACTCAAGCGCTGACCATATGTCGTGGTCGTCATACAGTCCGAATGGATCCAAATTGAACCGCAATGTACCAGAGAAGAGAACTGGATCCTGAAAAGAATTTCTCACTAAAAATATAGTCGACTTGATGTTATCGGGCGTCCAGAATAATTTTTTCATAAGACGTAAACTTGAATCAGAAAAATTAAATTTCATTTAATTGATGAGGGATGACTAAAACCTGAGGTATGATGGTAAGGTTGGACCGCAAGTCGTGAAGTCCCAATTCGGCAATATTGGTACCATCAATGAGAATTTCTCCTTCAACTGCTTCGACCATACGAAACAACGCCAGGGCCAACGAACTCTTACCTGCAGTATGGATATTGCTCTGGTCAAACGCTTGTGTCAATTTGGTGATCATAATGAGAAGAGCAATGATATTATTGGTATTTTATAAGGAAAATGGCAGCAATCTCAGCAAATGTAAGAGATAAATGTTAGATTCTTTCTCACAGACCTGCTCCAGTTCGTCCCACAATACCGACTTTTTCAGCCGATTCGATTGAAGCATTCAATTTCCGGACCACAAAATCCAGTCCCTCTCGATATCTGGTCGAATAATCCCGCAGCTGAATGGTTCCACTCTTAGGCCAGCCCTTCACCAAATTCAGTCCTTCAACTCGCCATGGAGCCTGAAATTTGATGTANATGGAGCCTGAAATTTGATGTATTTTTTGCACAAAATTGCTGAATCCTTTAAAATTTGTAACACTTCTCCACAACGAAAGAAAATTCGACAAATGATTCTGAAATTGACGATTGACGACAACTGAAATGATATATCAGTTTATTCTTGAACTGACTGTTAACAATACTACTGGACCAAGCGATTAAGATAGCAATTGCGATGGAATGCGAATTTGACTTTAACTATGGAACTGAACAATGATAAAAGACAAAATGTGTGAGAGGGATAATAGCAGCTCTATGCTTGATGGAGAGTACCTAATTTCAAGAAGTTAAAATAATGAGTGAATCAAAATTCTCATGATAAAGCTCGCGATATCTGCACAAGAAACGACCATTGAGTTTATTAAGCAATTTAACTGAGGTTATACTCACTTCCGTTGGGGTTTCAGCATATTCTTTCACTCGTTCAACAGCCACAATATTTGTCTCAAGTTCACTGATTTGCCTCACGGCAAAATTAAGTGTTTCGGTTATCTGAAATATAGTATTTCAAACATTCACTTCATCACTACAACAAG